CGGCGGGGCTGCCGGGCCGTCTCCGGGCAGCCGGGCGCGACGGGCGGGCAGAGGGCGAGCTTCTCCTGGGTGCACGGGGCGCAGTGCATGGGCTGCAGGGCCACCCCGGCGGCGAGGCGGGGGCCCAGGAGCGCAGGCAGCAGCAGGGACGGCAGCCAGCAGCGGCGTAGCAGAGACCGCAGGCTACTCATGTCGCTGATGAGGAGGGACCACAGAGAGGGTAGCTCAGCAGGCTGAGGAGCGGGAGGCAGTTTACATACATTCAGCTCGCCCGGGCCATTTATACAGTGCTTTGCCTGGCTATTAATCTTTAACCCCGAGTTAACTATTATCTGAACAGGAGGGCTGGAGAAGCATCATTTCACTGGCGGTTCAAGTCCCTGAACACTCTTCCCCTCCCCTTTCACTTTCCCCCTTTATCTTTTTTCTTTCCTCCAGACAACGGGCAGAGGGGAATGGATGAGGGGGGGTAACCCCTCCCCTTTTGCCTGTCACAAATGTCTCCTGTCTTCTGTTCTTGACATTTGATAAAAATGTAAATGTTTAAAAAAAGGGGGGGGGGAATGAGGGGAGGGAAATCCCATTGAAACTGAAGCAACTGACCTCATATTTCCACAGCAACAAATGCAACAAACCCTTGTTTAATTTTCGTCATGTGGCTGCAGGTTAGGAGGACACTGACATACCAAAGAGGAGGCCCCAAGGGTAATAAAGCCATCAGGATCCTGTAACCACTGCACACATGCACGTAGGAGTCCTTGCATTAACCTCCGGGAGGGGCTGTGCAGCCGAAGCTGGAGGGATCTCCCGCGTCTGGGCTCAGCTTTCCTACTGCTGCTGGGATGAGAGGAGTATCAGTCCTCAAAACATGCACTTGGGGGAAACCAGTGTTTGACAAACAGTCCAGAAACGAATGAGATATCTGCTTTTCTGTCTCTCCTGTTACCCTCTCCATCTCCTCATGTATCACCTGGGGGTAGGGGGGGGGAATAAAAATCTTTCTTTTTCTCCTTTGCATGCAATGGTTGTCACTACAATAAAAGCAAAAGTATTCAAACTTCACTGTGCTGAACAGATTATTTTATCCTGGTATTTGCAGTATGTACTGAGCTTGAAATAGCAAATTCCACTGTCAAGTAATCTAATGTAGCATGATTTTTGTTTAGTTGGGTTTTTTGCATTTAGTTCTCCTCTTTTGTAAATACATCATTTGTGTGAAAGAAAGTTGAAGCAGAACTGCAGACCATTGTTTAACATTCTGTTACTCACTCTTTTTTTTTTTTCTGGTATTGATGCCAAAGGTTTTTTTAATAATGTAGTGCATTTTAACCCCCCATATTCGTAGCTCAGTTCATAAAAGTATTCTTACTGGTTACAGACAACAACTTGAGACATTTTCACTTAACTACTTCATCTCATCTCATCTTTTTTTTTTTTTTTTTTAAATTCAGGTCACTTTAGGGGTCTCTATCTGGATACACAAAAGATGGCAGCCCTTAAAACTCACTAGCAGTTTTAAGCATTGTAAACAAAACTAATTTTATGGATTTGAAAAGAATTCTGTGGACTTCACATGTCTGACCAGGAGCAAATTTTAGCTGAAAACCTAGGTCATGACAATTTTTACATTGCAATTAGACTTTTCAAGCTCTAATGCTCTTTTCCCCCTTTCATTTCTATTTTTTTTATTTGTGTATGTGTCTTAGAAAATCAGGATTCTGTTATCATTCAATGTGAAGTGAAAAATATACAGAAATATGTCTTCCTTCCTCCCTCAAAGAGAAAAAGAAAACAGTGCAAAACAAAGTCCCTTTCATGAAGAAACATGAAAAAAATTACAAAAGTAGACCCAGTTGTAAAATGACAAAGACCCAAAGAGCTCATATGCATTTGTATATGCTTATGCATGTATTCATTCACTTATCTATGTATGTCTCTCTGCTGTGTTAGCTAGCTTTGCATGAACAGAATTGAGGATCATTCGAGTACTGACTGCTTAACATATAAGCTCCTTGCCCCTGAAATGACTGTACTCCACAGTGACTACCACTGTCCTGCCTTGCAGTTTTTCTGCCTTTAAAAAAAAAGGACATGAATTGAGAGGAAATAGCTTTTCGTGATACATGTGAAATGTTTTTTAAAAGAATTTTTTAACTCATCACCATCATTTTTAAGTAACTAGATAAAGACAGACACTTAATGCAAGAACAGAGTCCTTGTCTGACATACAGGCCTACGTCACAAAACTTCCATTAGTTTCAGAAGAATCTCATTCTTCCAAAGCACCGTCATGTTTTCAGGTCTTTGGCAGATTTTTACTTGCTGTGGGGCAGCTGGCAGTGTCTGAACTGTCCAGGCAATTCCTAACAATTGGCAGCCTTTTAGAAGCCAGATTTTTTTCAGTTTATCCAGTAAGATAAACAAAAGATAAACAAAAAATAAACAAAAAAAACCCCCATAGATTATAAAACATTTTGAAGGTGTTCTGTTTTGTTTCCTTTATGATTGCACGTCAACTCTAAATGATGGCCCAGTCTATTTTCCCTTGCTGTCTTTTGTACAATCAAACTGAGGAAACCTAAAACTCTGCTAAAGCAGACTTTGTGGGCAGATGTCCTTCTGCACAAAAGATAGACCCATAAAAATCAGTCCCTTCATATTTCATTTATATAAATGTAATGAACATACATTAGAACAGGTTATGATAATTTAGGGCAGTATCAATCAACAAGGCAATACTTTTGTATAGACCGTGGGACATCAATGAAGTGAAAGTAGTGTATATGTTTATGTAGGCTCTGTTTGATGTAATACTACAACTCAACTACCAATCTCCATTTCTGACCCTGACATTGCTTTAAAGAACACAAACAGATAAGAGTCAGGAGGTTAAAAACATCCATGATGTAAAGTTGTGTTTACTGAAGACTTTTGACGGTAATTTTTAGGTGTTCCAACTGTTGTCCCCGAATTTGAACCACTTGTTGAAAGTGAATCCTAGGCAATGATTATTTTTCTACAAGACTTCTCCCATTGTTTTCCCAATAATTCATAGCCAATGACCTCATTTTGCATGTTAAATAAAGTTTGGGATTTTTTTTTTCTTTAAAGCCACATGGAGTGACTCATAGAACATACAGTTTTATATAAGTTTGTGTATGAATGTTTTTTATCCTCTAATCACCAAAAATTCAAGTGACTTGCCAAATGCTTTCCTACTGGGACTGCTTCTCTGGATATGTTTAAAAAACCCCGAAACAACCAGTGGAATATCCTCATTATTTTTCTTTAGGCAAGAAAGTAATCCTGAATTGTAAGCTTAATATCCAAAACTACTATGTGATATACACACACGTGCGTGTATATATATATATATATATATGGCATCAAGCACGTGAAGAGAAACAGCTATGACAGAAATACAAAAAACCTAGTCCCTTCTCTGTCCCTATCAAAAAGGCTCTGTCCCTATCAAAAAGGCTCTGTCCCCTATCAAAAAGGCTTTATTTCAGCTCTATGGATTATTAGGAATATTTTACCCAAGTAATTGACAGTGCTGAGGTTATTGATGAATAATTTGATTCAAGCACTTATTGATTGATTGTTGTCACTTTGTGCCAATGACATATATGCCATTTGGTATTATTTTTCTATTCTGGTTGGGCAAGCATGACTTTTTCAATTAGATTCTGGATGCACATAACGAGGTGTTCCAAGTTTGTGTTGTACTAATATTCTCTAACTTTTGCAGACTGACTTTTGCTATTTTTTTTCCCCAGCAATTAATTTTGCTAGAATGTGGAAAATATTTAGAAATACCTAAAACTAAAACTGCAGAAACTCTAGAAAGAGAAGAAAAGTGAGAGGTGATCTCATGGCAAGTCTAGCTAGGGAAGAGAGGAAAAAATAATTTATTTCCCTGGTGGCACCCGAAGTATTTGGGCACTGAGTAAAACACTTTTTTTCACAATGTTGTGCATGCATAGACTAGCCAGATAATTATTTTCTAAGAACCATTGAGCTCTTCTGGCAAGACAGGTTAAAGTCCTCCTTTAGTCATCCTACCACACGCTAGCTGCTCTATGCAGTGATGGCACAAGTGTGAGTTTGCCTAGCTGGAGAAATAATCCAGAAACACTTTGACAAGAGGTAAAGCTGAAAGCATGCTGAAGAGGTGAGTTCCTGTGTGGAGAGTTAATATAAAAAAGCTTCTGCTTCACCCATTCTGCTGTAGTCAGTATTCCTAACTCCAGGTAGGGGTATTCCCTGGAACCAGCCATGGAAATGAAGGCTTTTCAGTGCCTACCAGCGTGAGCTATAGCTTAGCAGCGACTTTGAAAAATGTAAATGAACCCTTTAGCACTGGCTCCAGGCACCTAAAGTAGCATCAGCTGTTTAAATCTCTTTGTATTCTTCAGCCACTGTGTCTCTCCGGGCCCAGTAACAGAAAAGACCACCACCAAATAAGTAATGTGGCCTTTACTGCAGTCCCTGAGGGCTGTAGGCACTGATGACAAGAGTCTCCAGCCTTCACCACCATTAGGTTTACTTTCTTAAGTGGTTGCTGATAAAGGAAAAGGTAAATTCCCTAGAGATTTACTCTAAAAGCAATTTAAATACAGTAGGGCTTTCAAATACATATTAGGGCATTTCATGCGAAGGACAGTTTGAGGCAGTAACGGAAGGCTGCTGCTTACTTTAATGTCTGGGTCTGTCACATGGATTAAATGCCAGGATGCACATGAAACTCCCCTTTTCTCTCCAAACTAGTGCTTAGCTTTGCAGGAACTAGCCTTTCCACATGTAGTAGGGGGAAAAGTAGGCAGTGCTGATGGAGAAAAAGTAAGATCCAGACCCGGACCAGGGGCATCACAGTTATGGCCAGTTATACAACCTAGGGGAAAAATGTCCGTGGGACAACAGCCAACAATAATTAATTTATATTGGTTTATACCTCATCAAATGCAACAGTGGATATTCTCTTTCACAGTAGAGAGGCTGGATTTTTAAAGCAGCTTACTGCTAACCCAAAAATGGAGGAGCCCTTGATGTTTCTAATTCCTGCTCTTTTCTTCTGAGGCTTCATGGAGGCTTTTCTCCTCCATGAGTATCTTTGGCTGTTAGTACTAGAATCTAAAATGCCATTCTTTCATCTTTTCATCCTTTTAAAAATTCTAATAAAAACAGGAAT